AAGGTCCAAATTAGAGTTTCAGAGCATCTTCAAACGACACCAGCCGATGAATAAGGGTCTTATCTAACAAAACAATCGGTCATTTAATAAATAAATAAAAAAGTTTACGTTTTATTAGCTCAAATGTTCACCTTGCACTGTTCTGTAATGCTCTTGACTCTCCTGTTCAAACTCGTTCATCAAAATGAACAAATCTTTTTGAGTCATTTCGTTCACTGAATGAACCAATTTTTGTGAACCAATTCACTTTTAAAAGTGAACTAATCCTTTAATAACCAGGTGTAAACGGGGTCTAACACACCAGTGCTGTCAAAACCTCGACACATGCAGTGAACCTGCATTTCACAAAACATGTAGTGGTCAAAGGATATATGATTTTGTTTAATAAGTTTTTGGTATGACTGATGTGTTGCAAGCAGGACTTTTATTTAGATGGCTCGGCAGACTTTTATTTTGACAGCGTTGAAAACGCCAGCGCCCGGGCACAGTTAATTAATTTATAGTCTCGGTTTAACAGCTATGTCTAATACTTTATTAGTAGGGATGCACGATATAGCGGCCACATTATCGGTATCGGCCGATATATGATCATTTTCAATGTTATCGATATCGGCCCGACAAGAACATTTAGCCGATATCTAAAAGCCGATAAATAATGTATTATTTCCTTGAGCTGAGGCACTTTAGATGTGAACTGTTCAGCATAATGCTTTTAAATTGCTTGAAATACAATTGAAATCACTTTAAAAAAGGAAAATCCAGTTAAAGTGCAAAATTTGCAGCGCAAGTCTGTCATATCGGCTACACAACATTAAAATAAGAACATCATAATTGTGTTTTTATCTCGGCTTTTAATGAAGAAAATCAAAAATTGTCGAAAAATTTGGATTTCGATTTATCGGCCAAAATATCGGTTATCGGCTTTCAAATATAAAGAATTATCGGTATCGGCCAAAATTGTCATATCGGTGCATCCCTATTTATTAGATAGAACTGTTAAACAAAGAAAATAAATGGTATATGAAAAAGAATACCAAAGCCCCTTTCTCATCTACCATCAGCATTCAGCAAATACTCATTTATATAATTTAAACAAGCCTTTGAAAAGCTAATTAACATTTAATTTTGCAAACCTTGCAGGCTTTTTGGAATCCTAAACAGGCCTATAAAACATGGCTTTTATATGACCTTCTATTGAAGTAGAATAAAGAAAAGAATACGAGAGCAGGTGGGACGAGCAGAGTAAAGAAAGCAGGCACAGAAAATAGGCGATTATAAATAGGAACATATCTCAATCAATGGGGAGTTTAAGTAGGTTTTTATCTCGTGCTTTAGCCGGAGCTTTTCCAAACCTTGACAAGACGGACTCCATTACAGCACAGCCAAATTACACCTGAGGGATCTCTTGCCCCATCAACCGCCAGTAACCGCGCTTGAGCTGAAAATGCTTTGGTGAAAATGTAAAAAAACAAATTGATGAGTCTTTCCTTCACAACGCCTGAAAACAGGACAAAATAACACTGCGAGAGACTTGTGCTAATTTACGGGCCCGCAGCTTGAGGCACAGCACCAGATGGGGAGTGGATAAGAGCTCATTTGTGTCTCCTTACACCATTACAACATTTTTAGCGATGAAACGCTGGTGTGATTTCACAAGCCAATCACTGCTCTAGCAGAGCCAAGTCAGGATAGTCAAATTTAATCTACATCCACAAAACATGACATATCCCTCTCTCTGGCTTCCCGCTCCTTTGTGTTAATGTGACACTTTCTCACTCGATTTGGCCCTTGTCTCTTCGCTATATCTCTCGCAGGTCCACCGTATTTTTTTATTTTTTTATTTTTTTTTAAATTGGGGTTATTCACTGTCTCCCCTACATTTAGAAGCGTGGGTAAATGCATTTTTGTCTCAGTGCATGCATTACCTTAGTCTAATCTTGTGTGGCCTGCTTATTCAAGGCAAGGCAAGGCAAGTTTATTTATATAGCACATTTCATACACAGTGGCAATTAAAACTGCTTTACATGGAAGAAATTAAAATAATCACAAGAAATCAGAATAATTAAAACAGTTTAGAATAAATAAATCATAATAATAAAAATAAAATACAATAAATAATTAAAACTATTTAGAATAAAAAATAAAAATGAAGTACAGTAATAGTAATATTATATTCACAACGAGTACAAATAGCAATGCAGATTAAGACTAGGTGTTTTCCTAGGCAGAGATTGATTTGGTATCTGCATTGCTATTTGTACTTGTTGTGAATAATCAGGCCACACGAAGTAATTATTTTTATTTTTAATCACTTTTACTCACAATATGCTACCTGGCAACATAGAATACCATTCATTATGCTATGCTATGCGGCGGCACTGCCAGACTAAGACAATGAATGCACTGAGACAAAAATGCATTTGCCAACCTATCTAAATGTAGGGGAGACAGTGAATAACCCCAATTTCAAAAAAGTGTGGAGTGTTCCTTTAACTAAAACTGATTTTGTAATACTATCAATGAGATGAAGGACAGTTTCTGGAACAACAAAAATATAACAAACCACGACACGAGGCCAACACTGAATCGTAGCGGCATAGAAATCACAACAAAAGCCATTCTGGTTTGTTTTCAAGCAAAAGAGAAGAGCTTAACAATTACTAGTCACATAATGTACATTTAAAATGCACCAAGCAGTTGAATAAACAGTGCCAAGGGTTATCAAATAAAAACTTGTTTCATTTGCATTTTTGGTGACAGTTTGCATTGTGCATCAAAACAAACACACTGATTTTCTTTCCTTCTTCGAAACGAGTACTGGTAATGAACTCATGAAATGATTTTTGGTCTAGTTGATTTCCAGATGAGTGAGGATGCTCACAGTTTTTAGTGGGAATGAACCCAAATGAGTATGAAAAAGGTCAACTGTCCTCATCTCATTTATTTCAGCTCAACTATTTTGCTGTATGACCAGGAACATGTAATGTATAGCACATTTTCTCATATGTAAACTCCCCGTTTGAATAACTTTTAGTAGATGTATTGTGACATTTTTGACCAAGAATGTAACTTTTATGTAGCTCAATGCACATTTGTACTTATCATTTTTCATGTGACTTATATTTATAAATTATACTTATAAAGTTGGAGAAAACATCTTCAACCTTTTAATTATAAGGGTATGGTTCAAACACAACTTTAACATGATAATATACTACTCTTTGATCACTTTTGACTTGTAGACATGCTATATTGAGCTTGTTTTATTTTAAGTCTATTTAATGTGCTGATTGTCCAATAGAATCAAGAAATTATTTTGTATTTCTTTAAGTATTTTTAAAACTTATTTTCCCCCAAATCACCTGAATGTCCTACTTCTGCATTCACAGTATCACAGCAGCAGCCAAAAAACAAACAAAACAACAAAAAAAATCCAAGCAAAAACTGTGCCTTGTCTGAGGAATGAATAATTTGTCAAGTCAGTCTGTTGAGAAGAAGCCACAGAGGTGTGAATTAGTCTAAGCTCTGCAATAGTACAGGAGGCTCAATGCTCAAAGACCGACATCAAGAGATATTGATCTGCAAACCACCGCAGTGAAACAGAGATTGCGAGAGAAAGAGAAAATGATAGATGGCAGAGAGATATAGTAAGAGTAATAGTATGAGATGATTGAGAATGGGGAGTGAAAAGAAACAGAAAGAGTTTGGGTCCAACAAGATTCAGAGATGTGGTAATGTCATGACATATCACATAGTAAAATATGCAAATCAAGCATGAAATCTCATTTCATTTCATCAATTTCATTTTTTAATCCCTTAGCTGATTTTTCATCCCTTGGTCGTGTTGTAAATGTTTCACCAGTGCACGTTATTCTAATAAAAGTGTTTGTTTTCATAATATTTTCATCCTATAAATCGATAGTGTCTTTGCAGAATATTTTGACTAAACCGTTCAATTCAAATGGATTAGTTTTACAATCTCTTTATGAACTTTTTAAGTGGAGGGACAGAAAACTCTCAGATAAAAAAAGAAAAAAAAAAGGTTTTATTTGGGTTCTGAAGATGAACGAAAGTCTTACAAGTTTGGAACGACATAAGGGTGAGTAATTGATTACAGAATTTTAATTTTTGGAGGAACTAACCCTTTAATTATTCAGTTTTACCCAGAATTACAACACATAATGGACAATGAATAAAAAAGAACCCAGCCTCAGTGTGGGCATCTATATGACAGCTATCATATTCTTTCTTGTCTTCTAATATGTAGTTTAATTTACCTGCAGACTTGGTATGATGGTAAACACATCTTTCTGAATGCTTTTGAAAGAAGTGGCTTAAGCTCATCGAGACGACTTGATCAAAAATACAGTAAAAACTAGGGGTGTAACAGCTCTGTAAAAAAACCGAACCATACAGTTCTCAACCCACGGTTCAGTATGCAATACGGTTAATCTCAAATCTGAAGACACATCTATAATAAGGTTTGTTGAAATAAGACAACAATGTTTTTTACGCTCCACATGGGTTTCACAAGAGAGCAGCTGTACAATCAACTATTGCTCCTGTCTGTGAACATTCTTGCTTACCAATACTATACTTTTGTAACATTATAAATGTCTTTACTGTGACATTTAATCAATTTAATGCATCCTTACTGAATTAAAGTATTAATTTCTTAAAAAAAAAAAAAAAACGGACCCCAAACTGATTGGTGGTGTGTATATGCAGTATGTATGCATATATATACAGTACAGTGCAAATGTCTTAGGCATGTTGTGTATTTTCACCAAAATATAAATGGTTTTAAGCCCGTTATTTATATCTTTTGCTGTAATGTGTCAGTAGGAAACAGTAAACTGCTATTTCATAATAACACACTACAGCAAAATGCATAAATGGCTGGCTTAAAAACATTATTTTTGGTAAAAATACTAACAGGCTTAAGTACTGTTTATGTTATTGTGTATATTATGTGTATATATATGTGTGTGGTTCTTCACCTCTCTCTTAAGTCATCCAGACAGCGTTGAAGGTGTACTTCCCCGGCAGTGACCAGAACATGCTCTCCAGTCTCCTGAATCAACACTTCGGCACAAGGGTCGGCCTGGTTCAGCAGTCTCATACCCCGCACCAGCTTTGGCATCTCACCTGCAAACACACAATGTTTGAAATCTGTACTGTATAAAGCGCTATATGGTGCTCCCCCTGTGGTCTAAGTGGGTGCTAACGCACCAGTGATGGGGACACTAGAAAGTAAACCGAGGTCCCGTCTCTCTGTGGTCATTAAAAATCCCAGGATGTCTTCGGAAAAATAGTAGGGGTTTAACCCCGGCATCCTGACAAAATTTCCCCATTGGCCCCTGTCCATCATGACCTCCTAATCATCCCCATATTTACTGATTGGCTTCATCAGTACCTAGAAAAGCGCTACATAAATGTAACGAATTAATATTATTATATAAATAAAGGAGACTTGACTTGACAAGAGGCTGTTGAAGGATGCACGTAAACTATATTGACCTCAGCCCATGTTGGTTGGTGCACAATTTTTTTTTATTTCACAAACAGAGTATTTTAAAATATAAAGCAGCCAAAAATGTCCTGTTAAACTCTAAGCATAAAACTGTTTTGGGTTCAAATCTTCACTAACATTAGAAGCAGACCTCGGGGGGTGGGGGCAAAATAACAGAACATGTATGATATGAACCCTTTAAAACAGCCTCTCTTTCTTTCTTCAAATAAAAATGCTGCTTGACATCAAAGCAAATTCCTTTGGAACATGTTATACTGACAGCAGTAACACTATGACTATGAGAGCTTTTTAATAAAGATGGTGAGTTTTCACCAGCGATGGCTTCTCCTGACCTGAAGGCAGCTGAAGTTACGGTTATGAAACTAAACTCTGAAACAGCCCTCTGGGACAGTGATCTCCCTCACAATGAGATCTTGTGTTTGTTTCTGTGATCAAGATCAGACAGTTCTTTGGTGTGCTAAACTGGGAAACATTTAACTTCCTCATTACAGATGTGCTTGTGACTAATGTGTCCCACATGAGCGAGTGTGATGCTTTGAGATAGCCGGGGTTTCCATGCCATCATTGACACTGCTAATGAGGATCACCTCTGAGTGAACCTGGAGAAGTCGCCATTACAGCCGCTTTTGAGGGATATTTGCACCTTAGAGACCAATTAGAGATGACAATTTAATCTGTATGCTTACGCATCTATTTCATGGTAAGTCATTGGAAGCTGCCATTGTAAGCAGTATTCACCAAAAAAATGCAATGCGTAATGCGACTCAAAATCCTTAATGTGATAAAATAAGTTTAAGGAGATACCGCAGATTAGTTACTGAAGCAAGAGAATTTGCGTCATCAGAGTAATTTACGTCATGATCGTAGAAGTCAGGACTTTATAACACTGAGCATCTACAGTACAACAACGCAAGCACCTGTAACCCTGGTAAGGTGGACATTTCTATTCTACAGTAACTCTATAACCCGATTTCCCTTATCTGTTTGTGATCAGATTTCAAGCCTCTAAACTCTGAGAAAGTTTTCAGTCCAATGATCCAGTAGGCAAACTCATTCAAACAATCACTCCAAAAAAGCGCTAATGTAAAGAAAACCAGGCTGATTACATGAGAGATGGGAGAGAGAATAGCGACTCGCATGGTTTTCCATGAATTATTCATTCCAGGTTTTGGTGGCGTTGTTTATAGTATAATGAGCCATGGCCACTGGTTTCCACAGCCAGTAAGTTTGAACTAGAGCCAGACCGATATATCGGCAGGCTGATATTGTATGCTGATATTAGGCATTTTCCAAATTATCGGTATCGGCAGTTCTAATGGCCGATAAATGAATATTTCAAAAATAAAATAAAAATGGACGAAACACGCTTGAACCATGTCATGAGTGTTGTATAGTTTGTCCACCAGAGGGCACTCTACACCGTCCCTGTTGGCAACACTCGTTGAGTTGGTCACGAGACATACGTTGCTTGAATAACAATTAAAAGAACATCCCCGTCTGTTCTCTTAACTCAAATAAGCATGACAAAATTTGTGACTATCATGTCAAGTTTTGCTGCGGTTAAATAAGCCGAGAGTGAAGCGGAATTAGCTAGTAATAGTTACGTTACGTTGTTACAGTGTAGTTGACTGACTGCCCTTTTAACTTTTGACAATGTGACTGAAGTATTTCTTTAATAGCAAGTGACAGTTATAGCAAAGAGACGTATCATCTCTCCTTGGCCTGTTATATTGAAAATGTATATTTTACAATTTGCAGTATTACGTTTTCCATTGCTAAATTATGGCTCATCTAGACTAGCTAACCACAAAGCTAGCTAATGCCACAATCATCAGTCTGTTCTGTTGTGACAACAAAAGAAACAAGTTTCTTTTTAAAATGCATTATCATATTATTTTAGTTAAAATTCATAAATAACTACAAATAACTAATGTTAGGAAAATCTGTTACTGTTTTGTTGCGCGTTTCTGAAATTTTTTTTTATATATATCGGCCGATATATCGGATTTTAAAACAAACAAATATTTGTATCGGTATTGGCCTTCAAAATCCTTTATCGGTCGGTCTCTAGTTTGAACCAGACCAATTCAGCACAGATCATTTGTGGAAATCCAATTATTATAAGTTATTATCGCCATTAAACGAGTATATTTGGTTCTCTTACGAGAGGTTCTCACGTATTGCGTTAGCTAGCTTATGCTATGGGAAAGATTAATCTTTTCTGAGATATTAAAGCCAAAAAAAAATCCTTAATTTTGTATCCATTGTCAAACCAAAGCAGCTGCGAAACCTAGAGCGGGCTATCTAGCGAGCTCATAGGCTGCTCTGCGGCAACTGCAGCAGCCTATCGGTGAACATGGCGTGATGTCAAGCCCAATGAGAGGTGCCCACACTCTCATGGTGTCAGAGCCCACCAGAATGGCCATGGCTTTGGTTTATATAAGCGAGGTTCAGAGGCTGCTTCCCAGATTTTGATCTCTTCAGCGCCACGTCACAATCTAAGGGGTACCTTGCGAGCTTAGGACAGCGCTGAAGGCGCTGCCGTTCTGATGTTCCCTCTAAGTGCTTATGTACACGTGCTAGCCCACACTGTTGCTGGCCACCTATTTTTCCCACTTTCAGGGCTCCCCGGGTTTCCCTTGGGCTCATGTAGTGGATGCTTGGCGCGCACGGCGTTGACAAAGGGTTCCCGTAGCGTAAGCAAGCTTACGTAATAAGAGGAAACCTCTCGCAAGAGAACGTATTGGTTACGTAACGTAACCTCGGTTCTCTCTAGAAGTGGGAACGAGTATTGCGTAACCGGCCTGCACTGGGCCGGCTGCTGCTGCACTGCATTGACAATGGATACAAAATTAAGGAAACATTTTTGGCTTCAATATCTCAGAAAAGACGAATATTTCTTCTAGAGAGAACCGAGGTTATGTTAGGTAACTGATACGTTATGTTCAGGGTTTCCCCAGGTTTGATTGCAGCAGGACACAGCCCCCTTACCTGGACCCATCCCATATCACTACGATTCCCTGGCACGATGAGGACACCAGATCCCCCTTTTGTTATAACATTTTATTTCCCCCATTTTTGAAAATTGTATGTTTTTCAGAGGCCTGACACCACTCCCACTGTGTCTGTAGTTTCTCCTTCCGCTACAATATATACACATACATAGACACATAAACAGCTCACTACATTATGTAACTTAATCATCCAACACACTTGAAGAAGGAAACTAAGTGTTGACAAATGACAAAATAAACGTGTTATAGAAGATAAATGGTGTATGCTTAATTTCACAATAAGTGTGTGATCTATCGAGATTATTAGCCTAAAAGGGTGCGAATTATCACAATAAAGAAATGATACACACCATTACGTTCTGTAACTTAATCATTTCACACTCTTGAAAAAAGAAACTAAGCTTACTAAATACAGTACATACCCTAAAAAAGTTTCTATTACATTCAGAACTTTCCCCAAGGCAGGGGAAAAAATAACTGCTTGTTCATTTGTCATTGCGATGAGTCAATGCACTATTTGCTTATCAGCTGTTTTTTCTTGCATCTGAAAGTTTTCTGCAATGCTTTACCTGCTGCCTCACAATGCAAAACAGTACTCAAGGTGAATGTGTTCTGTGTTTTAAATGTGGCTGCTTTTGCTCATCAACACGTACTTGGATGTTTGGGCTCGATTGCTACTCTGACGATGGGCGTAGCTTCAAAGTTGATTGGCGTGAAGGGTGGGCAGGCAGGAGATGTGGAGATGGTGGCCGACTTGAGAATGAATTCCTCCATGCCACCAATACCTGCAGAGATACAAACAGCATTAAACTAAGCTGCATTCAAAAGACCAGTCAAACTGTTTTACACAGGATTTTAAACCTCGTAAAAAGAGTTGTTAAAAATGAAACATTATTTATATATCGGCTTCCTGACATAACAAAGGCCCCTGTGTGCTCACTTTAGGTGGGAGGTTGTGTGAGTACGAGTGGAAGCATGTGTTAGTGCACGTTTTGATGGAAAAAGAAACATACTTTGAAGAACTTTTGCAATAGTGCTGTGATGGAAGAACCCTAAATTGTAGTGGTGATATGGGCAACATGCCTAAAAAAAAGTGTACTTAGTCACAAGAAGCTACTAGAAGATAAACAAAACAAGCAGTCCAGTGGTTTTTGCTTTTCACGTGTGTGGGTTCAAACTCATCTTTAAAAAACCAAACCAAACCAAATTTCAACATATCAGTATGTTAAAACTTTAAATATACATAATTTACGTTGACTTTGGTGCAGTAAAAATATAAAATCCATGAATGTTATTGTGGAAACAACATGCTGTTTTCATAATATCACTTTTTTTTTTCGGACAGTAAAAACAGGGATGGAAATTAGCACCAGGCACCAGCCACATGCTGGTGATTTGGTGTTGTGGCTTGTAAACTCGCTTCACCCACCAGCCACCGTGGCGGGTAAATAAAAGTTGCATGCTGTTTCACCCGGACACTTTTAGAGGAGGCACACCTTGAGAATTTAGCCTATGGACTTAACAGCTTAAGTATTGTAGATCTTGTAGTATTAATTTTTACATGCAGTTACACATTGTCGATTAAAAAACAACAAAGTGGCAGGTAAAAAAGTCGAGTGGCTTGCTGACAAAAAATGGGATGTTTTCCATCCCTGTATGTATGAAATTATATAGCTGTCTTTTTATTTTAAGTCCCTTGCATGGGCATTAACAAAATAATATATTTTAGTTTTTTTAATTGAAGGTGCCAGAATGCTACTCTCTGGCTTTGTTTACATTTGGTATTAAGATGAATTTTGGTCGATCGGATCATGACGCTAAATACAGGTGTAAATGGGGTCTAAACAGTGGTGGAGGAAGTACTGAATCTCAGTACTTAAGTAAAAGTACAAATAACCAGATAAATATTTACTTTAGTAAAAGTAGAAGTAACACAATGACAACCATACTTAAGTAAAAAGTAAAAAGTACCTGATTTTAAATGTACTTTAAGTATTAAAAGTAAAAGTACTTGCATAACAATTGATGACTATTTTCTAATGATTAATAAAATATTTAATTCTAACTCATTCAACCTAATACTCCTAATGATGTTCAATAATGATGGAAAAAAAATTGTTGTCACCAACCACCAAACAAGCTTGCCATTTATATCAATATAAACCATGCTTATCCTTACTATATGTTAATAACTATGTTTGGCAGTAAACGAGATTAATTTATGGTATAATTCTGAACCTCTTGGCTTGCCATAATCCTAACCAAACGTATATTACACACGGTGTGTTTCCTATGCACGTAAAAACTAATTTTCGTGTATAAATTGCACGATAAACACACTGCGTGCGAGACGCATTTAGTTGATGTATCTATGGCAACCAAACGTCACTGGTGAGACAAACGTGCAACGAACGGGCGGTCAGATTATGCTATGGCAGGGGAAAAACTGATCAGAAAATGTAATGAAAATGTAACAGAAGTTGTAGAAATGTAGTGGAGTAGAAAGTAAAATAATTGCTGCAAAATGTAACGAAGTAAAAGTAAAAAGTATGAACTATTTATTCTACTTAAGTAAAGTAAAGATACGTGAAAAATGTACTTAAGTAAAGTAACAAAGTATTTGTACTTCGTTACATTCCACCCAAGGGTCTAAGCATTTGAGCTTGACCTCCTTAAACCACTTCCAGAAGGAACCGAAAACGCATTCGCCCGGACTGTTTTCGTAGTATCGTGGTTGAATATGTTCGAACAGCCACAAAAGACCGTCTTCTCTCAGTCTACGGACTTATCAGAGCAGAAAAGAAAAGCTGATGCTCTCCATGTCTTGTTTCCATCATTTCCTGGGCGCGTTGCTATGTAAATTGCGTGAGCTTATTATTTCATCAATTAGATTGAAAGATGTGAAACAGACTATATAGTTTTACCCACCAACAGACCCTGCTTTAGAAGAAATCAGGACAGAAGTGGTCAAAAGTGGACAAAAGAGCCTCGTCTTGTCTTAATAGCGGATGCCTTAATATTTTATTACCAAAAACATGGCCAAAATCATTCAAAACCACTGGTCAAGAATGAAAAAGTAAAAAATAGATAAAAAGCAACATTAGTTTTTTAAAATAAAATACAATATATATATATACATTTTGAGAGAAGATGAGAGTGGTAAACAAATCTAAACTTTTTTGGGATTGATTGGTGGGCAGTAACCTGGAGAAGATGCATTCATATAAAAACTGAATGAAGCATTTCAGTGGCTCAGCAGGAAGACCATTTCACTTGCCCCTCGAAACCCATTCAGTCGAATTACATCAGGTCCAAGAGTGTTTCCATCAGGAGAGCAGAGCCCCGACTCGAGAGGTTAGTTTGTTCAGTCAATGAACCAGCCATGAGTCAAGAGCTTCTGTCACTGGCTGAGCTTATTAAGGGCCAATTCCAGACAGACTCGCAATCGTGTTCATGAGCAAACACCTGGAGGCTGTAAAGACGGTAATAAAAATGGCTTAACGGTAATCACAGCGCAGGCCGTATGAAGTCTTAAGTCTGAGGGTCCTGGCGGGGTTGACTCGCTGGGTCGATCTCTCCCACGAGATCAGTATCTGTGCATTCAGAGCATGACATCATGGATCGACTCACAAAGGTTTATTATAGCACCACCATCGTGCAGACATAGCCAATATAGGAAAATAAACCATGTATACAATGTCAAATGTGCTAAACGTTAAAGCTGCAACATTAATTTAAAATGCAAAGCGAGATATTGTAACGTCTGTCAGAGAGTTTGAAGTCTGCCCAGATGAAGAATAGGAAAGACAGCGCAGTCGATAAATTGCTCATCGGAGGAATCGTATGATTCTTTCTGTAAGTGTTTGCATATGTCTGGATCATGGCACACGTTTTTCAGGTTAGGATGTTGCACAGATGCGTCGAGGCGTGGGAAAATGAGAGCGTCTCTTTAGTTTAGAACACACAGACTAGTTTGGAACTAGTTTAGAACATAGCATCCAATCAGCTTTTGGGAAAAAAGGAGTCGTTGAATATTCCTGTATTATGTACGTCAAACTGTATATTCGACTGTACCAAACACTTGATTTCCTACATATCAAACATTTCAAACATTTTTTAAACTCAAAAATGTAAATCCCATTTATTAATATATTTGACAAGTAATGTACAATTATCAAGTTGTACCCACAAAGTCAACCATTTCTGGGTGATATAAGATCAGACTGTCAGAGTTTAGTCTATCCCTTTCTGAATTATAAATAACTTTCTTCCAATCTAAATATGGCGAAAAAGGTGAAGTGTGTAAATTTTAAAATATAAAATGCTATTGCAAATTGAGCCGATTATGTTTTTAAACAACTTCTTTGAACACAAACAGATAACCGCACACCACATTGAACCAATGTTGCAATGTAATTTTTTCTTGTGATGCTCAAACAAACAGAACAATATTTTGATAGTGCCACAGTTTTTGTCACACTTTTCGGCAGAATTGTCTTTTGCATGGATAGTTGTTAATCCACATTAAGCTAGTATAGGAAAATACTGGATCGTCACATTGGAATAGCAAACTATCCTAAAGTGTATAAATATATACATATAAGTGAGCCATTTCTGGGATGAATGAATGTGGCACTACAGTGTCAAAATGCTGTTGTGTTTGTCTGAGCAAACAACCAAAACCACACTGGTTCAACCAATGGTGTAAGTTTAGGGGCCAATGGTTTTAAGTTTAGGAATAATACTAAAATAATTCAAACATTCAGAAATACAAAAACAAACCTTCCTAAGGTCTATCCAAATTTCATTTGATTTCCCGAATGACAGCAGGAAGAGAGGAGGCCGAATGATTTGAAAAGAAGTTATTCTACCCCTCCTCTACCAACAGTCTTTTAACCTGCGAGTCACTCGTTCATCACTGAAAGTCAAGCCACATGCAGCGGTCAGTCTAGACACAAGAGCTCTTTGTGTGTGTGACTCTAATACGGGCCCGGGGCACACTGCCATATTTATCCACAGCGCTGATGATTTCCTGTTCGTGTTGACCCTCTCACTCCCTCCTCCCGAAGCACTGATGCAGGGCCAGCTCGTCCCCGTCTAACCCGTCATACAGCCCACAGCAAAGCGGATCTCAGATCAGCGACTTGGGACAAATTCAGGCTCTCTAAAAACAAGCAAATCCTTCGCTCATCGGCATCAGATGGTGTTTTAATGATTGCTACATAAATCCACCCTGCTCTAAACTTTTCACCTCACACATGCTTCTGATTTCCACACAAAAGAGCAGTTTAAAACATAAAAATTGAATATCTAAACTTGCATTTTTCTGAAGGAAACATCAGTGTCATTTTAAGAAGCCAATTTCAAATGTAACTCTTACATTATAAAGTACATTTTGCAAGTATGCTTCATCAGGATAAGCACACAGTGTGTGGTGTGAAAATTGAAAATTTCAACATTAGCGTACAGTATTTTTTTTTAAAAGTGCAAACTCTATACTCTCAGTTTGAGCGTATGCCTTATGCACTAATTAGCTGGTCCACAAAATAACAAAAGAGGCCTGGCCCATTGTTTTACAGTCGAAAAACAAACAGAGGAGATGGAAGAACAACAGCAAACATTAGAACGACAGAGTGAACAATAGATAGAATGATAGAATAATAAAACAGATAAAATGACAGAACGAGCGAATAAACGAACGATACACAGACGGACGGATAGATAGCATGAGACAGATAGAACAATGGTAGAATGACAGAACAATAGATAGAATGAAAGAGAGAAC